TTTTATTCTCCATCTATTTCCTTTTCTTCCTTTGTTCTACCTGACTTACTACTGGCTTTCCCTACCCAGGGTGCCCGATCTGTCAGAAGTTCAATAACATATGTATCAGATTTTATACTCTGGTTGACCAGTTAGTTCATGGCTCATGGCTAAACCGCCCTAACCCTAGGGTCTCAGCCTTATGCCGTTATCCTCTCAGAAAAACATGCACCTCAACTCATTACAAGAAACACCAGGACTCACTTCCCTACCCAGGGTGCCCGTCCTCCTGTCCAGAAACCCTCAAAAGAAACAGCGACTGATCCATCCAACCCGGGTAGGACCAGCCATAAAAGTCATCAACGCAGCCCAACAAACATCAGTAAAACACAGCATTGGGCCCACGTCCACCCGGAGGGGATTAGCCTTGGGTTGACCCGGTCAGACACATGCAAAACACCTTCATCCCACCTTCCCCCCAATTTCTCAGTCTGAATTCACTCAAGGGCTATCTGAACTCTCATACATATATATTTGTTAATTTACCTTTCACAAAGCATGTCCTGACATACATAACAAAAACAAAAATAACAGGTAATAACCTCTCATAGTTATGTTCAGATACCCAACGGAGTAATGCAGTTAGGGGAAGGGATCACACGCGTCAGACGAGATTATACCTAAAGTTCCCTGCCTCCAGAACCCCGCCTGGGCTCCGGCAGAGCTCCCGCAATCGGTGGGTGGACCTCCCACAAGGTCTTGCTGCGGACCTACGGGTTGCAATCCCGCTTGCCGCCTTCCTCTCGTAACCTCAGACTAGACTTAAGAGTAAGAAGGGTAGACGGAGATAGGTTTAGACTCTCAGATTCAAGGGTGGGACAACTCAACTCACAATGAGAGGGCCTTGAAATTTGAACGTGCCTGAGGGCCCCGCAATGATGGCCAGCAAACGCATCAGAAGTAGCTGAGTCTCGTTCAGAACACAGAATACCGATCTCCTGACCGCCCTCCAAGTCACCGCGATAGCCCTATGCAGGGTCTGCTCACTCTTCCGAATCCACAGCCGTGCGCAGTTGGTGCATGGCGAGGAGCATAGTTGTGTATAGTGAATGGCAGTTCGCAACTTCGCACGGTCATACCATCTGCTACTTAATGATCAGTAGTTCGATAGACAGTGGCTCGGCGAACAGTTGCGGTCTGACGGATCCCTCAAACCAATTCAACAATGGTATCTCCTGCTAAAAAGAACCGCAACGCAGTTCTAAATCTAAAATAACAGCACCGCTGGAGAAGAGGATAGCAACACTGCTTAAGAAGAGACCAGCAACACTGTTTAAGAACCACCCCAGCGTATTGGAAATAACAACCGCCTGGTTGTACTGCAATGGTTTTCAGCGTTGCCGTTACAGTGGCCAGTCACAGAGGACTTCAAAACGACCTACTAGTAGTAATCTCAAAAGGTAATATGTCACTGTCGAGAATTGCAGCCTCAATCTCACCCCTAGCAATGATCACAACAGTCATCCGGGCCTTCGGCAACTGAGGCCCCCCAAGCACCCTGCCCAGTAGATATCAACAGTACTCAGACAAAAAGCAGAGTACTCTGGGTTGTACAGCGTGTGGCACAACAATGCAGTAGTGTACACATTAGCATGCAGCTGATTGCATAGCATTACGGCAACGAATGAAAAAAAAACGGCGATCGCAAGGTCTTGTCAGCAGCACGGTTAAGAACATCCAGCAGCCTCCAAGCATTAACAAGGCTTAGAACTAACCGTGTCAGTCCGTGTAACGCAGGCTACACCCTGTTCATAGCAGTAACAGCAGCAGTCGATGAACAAAGCCCCCCACCCCCTTTTCGAATACACAGAGGTGTTACTGGACTCGGCTTCAGCAGCCCAGCTGGGTAAATTTAACACGGCTTCAACTTGTAGTTCGTTGTCAAAGTTACCTTTCAGAGCAACATACGTGGCCGACTCATTCCTCTCTACTATCCAGGTCGTTTCTTGCTCAACCTCCTACACCCGCTTTCTAGTTGCTGCCCTCTGTGTATGTGATGACTAACAACTGATCACAGGGCCGATCGGGAGAACTTTAGTAACGATTGAGATGATGGAAAGCACGGTCGTAACCACAATCGGGTTAATCTGCCCGAAACACGCAAAACGAGGGTGATCCTGGTATCATATGGCCAGGTGTCGTGCACCATGGCACGATCTGTACACACGACCTCATTCGGCCAGAGGAGATATTCTCGACCCCTCTCGCTCCCTCTCTGGACTGTCCCCCCACTCCGAGCGCCTGCCGTTGCTGATCACGCGACAGCTCAATAAGAAAAATGAACCTTCCTCGAAATTATGGGAAGGTACCCGCAGCCAACACACACATTTATGGAATGTATCCTCGTCGTGAGTATATTAAAAAAAAAGAGAAGGAAGTCGTTAAGTGCGAGCTCCGCCGTATGTGCGCAAGGGGAGATAGAGAGAGGCACTTTACATCGATAGGGTGAGGAAAACCGGAATGAGTCTTCTGCTAGATCATGACCACGTACATTATCAAATCCCCTGGCAGGACAGTACGTAGACTGGCTCCTTGCTTCGACTTTCGGCTCATCCCGCAGCAACGGTCTTAAGCGTAAGTACTCTCTTTCTCTCTCTCCCTCTCTCTCTCTCTCTCTCTCTCTCTCTCTCTCTCTCTCTGCGTATTAACGCCACTTCGCGCACTTACTTCACAACCGCACTCCCCTCCGCACGCATTCAATCGTTCACACGAAGTGAGGATGTACCTTCGCCTAGGTGCCGACCAGGTACATGACTTGATGAAACTCAAGCAGGACGATACACAGATAGGCTTCAACCTTCGACCCCGATGAGCAGTACAACGACAACCATGAAGGTCAGCACCACAATGGGCACACCAGCACCCGCTAGTTGCATAGAAACAAACCGCCTTCGCAAAACGACGCTGCGTCTTTCGTAAGGACGTGGAGATATACACCGCTTCCTAGTCACGTACGCAGAGAGCTGGAGCGAGGTTACTTCCTTCGAGGGAGGAGCTACGCACCGGCCAACAGGTAAGTTTCCAATCTCGCGGCTCCCTCACCCTACTTCCCTCGATAGGATGAGCAAAATCACAATGAATCTTGAGGCAAAACGCGACCAAATACAGATCCGGATTTCCCATAGTGAGGGCGCAGCTCCTACTACTCGTGCTGCAGTTTCTACCCCCTGTACTCCCGATCTGACTTCACAGATCGATTTGCGAGGTCGTAGAACCCCGAAATCGGATCTTGGTTTGCCCGATCTTGTTGAGAACCGGCGTTTCATGTGTCTTTCTAATGCGCCATATCCACTCCTCCAGCAACTCCGCGCTCCCCTCTTCTCTCCTACCCCCTCTCTCACTACTCTAACATCAAAACTAAAGCTACCATCACCCTCTTCCTACTTCAGACCCCTACTCCGATCCTCGGCTCGCCTGATCCCACCAAGAACCTGGCGAGAATACTATTCTCTATTCCGATGTACCCGAATCTGCCTTCACCATCTCCGCCCCCATTTTTCCAATGTACTTGGCGCGGATTCGTGCCCAGGTACACTTCCCCCTTTCCTTCCTTTGCTATGCCGACTCCTGTTTGCTCCCCACCTCGTTAAGTCGTCCCATTCCTGCCTTCAGTCCTACGGACGATAGCGCACCGGCGCAAACTTCGATCACAGTCTCGTCAGGGAGAATTGCGCACAGCGACCCGATACCAACGGGTCTGCGGTGCTAAATAGCTTCTACGTCCGCAACCCACTCCGTCTCTGGCCTCGGATACCACCTTCGATAGTGGTCAGGCCCCAGGCAATTCAGAAGTATCTGCTTTTACTCACTGAGTTCCATCACCTAGGATTCGAACACAGGCCTGTATCGCAACAGCTCGTGGGTGTATCCACTGAACTAGGCTCCTGGGTGCCACGGCCGGTCCTTAAGGCCGGTACCGGCCGCGTCCCAACTTGGGACTTAAAATAATAATAATAATAATAATTAATAAAATTTAGAAAAATTAGGAGAAAACGGAGTAGGGGAGGAGGCCGTTGGTACTTGGTCCTCGGTCCTACCTCACGGGCCCGCGGTCAGATCCCCCAGCAAAACTAAGGGGGATAGTCCTACGGGACCCTCGACCCCCCAGTTTCCTTCCATATTGCGCTCCTCCGCTCCCTTGCTGCTCGCTGCTGGCCTCGATCCCGGGATCCGCATGTTGAAAGTCCAGTGCAGTAACCAATAGGGCTAAGCCCAAGCCTGAACTGGCTGTGCGCTGCCCTGTATGTGAATGGTACGGCCAGCCAGCCTGGGCCTGCACACGGTGCACCAGGCCGTTTTTTAACTTACAGCCCGCGTCCATGGGCCCGCACGTGCATATTTGCCACTTTAGAGGGCACAGCCTTGCTTGGCTTGTCGCGCATGCTGCCTCACCATGCTATGGCTACTGCCGGGGCTCTCCTATCCTACCGTACTCGTTGAGGGATTGCCCGTTTTACCGCCTTTGGGCTGGAAAGACCCCGACTTTCACTCTCCTCGCCCCCGACCCACGCCGTCCTAACTAAAGTTTGTCACGGCTCCTACTGCCGACAACACACTGCCAAACCTTGTACTCATGTACTCTAACAAAAAAACGTCGCTCCCCAATAGGTCAAACAAGGTCCTCTTTTAGCCATAGTCTCACCTGGTCAATGTTGCGCTGCCTGTAACTTCATCCGCGCGTGCGAGGTCGCGGCTTCACCCAAAATTATGGCCTAGCACTTACTTGTTCTACCGGCGTCTCATATTGATCACATGTCCCGTCAAGCTAACGCGCGCCCACAAAGTGCACGCTCACACACTCTCTAATCAACTCAAAGCGTATGTCACTCCCAATCCCTGAGGATCGGTTGTGACTGCACAGAATGGGACACGCCCCTAGATACCGTCAAGGAGCGTAGTTCCTGCAACCTGCAAACACGCGCCCAAATACCCTTGTAAGGGTATTCGCGCCGACAACGTCATTGCAAAGAAGAAGGAGAGGGAGTGGAAGAGGGCAACGAGGGCAAGAGGCGGCAACAGGAAGGGAGGGGCGGGGGGAAGGGGGGGGGACGACGGGGAAGAATAAGCGGGAGGATGGGAAAAACGATGACGAAGAAGGAGAGGAAGGAGGGAGGAGGGACAAGAGAGGGAGGCAGGAGGGAGGAGGGAGGAGGGGGGAAGGAGTAAGGAGGGAGGAATGGAGGAGGGGAAAGGAGAAAGGGAGGAAGGGAGGAGGGAAGAAAGGGGGTGAGGGACAGGAAGAGGAGGAAGGAAGGAGGGAAGAAAGAGGGGCAAGGAGGGGGATGAAGGTGTAGAAGAAGGGGAAGGAGAGGAAGAACGACAACGAAGGAGGCAGGGGAAGAATGACTAAGAAGGAGGGGGGAAAGAAAAGGGAGAACGTGGAGGAAGAGGAAGAGGAAGAGAGGGAGGAGGGGGAGGAGGAGGAAGAGGAAGAGAAGAAGAAAGAAGAAGAGGACGAGGAGGCGGAGGAGGAGGCGGAAAAGGGGGGAGAGGAGGAGGAAAAGGGGGGAGAGGAAGGAGGCGGCGGAGGAGGAGGAAGGCAAAGAAGAAGCGAGGAGAAGAAGAAGAAGAAGAAGAAGAAGAAGAAGAAGAAGAAGAAGAAGAGGAGAGGTGGAAGAGAAGGGAGGAGGAGGAAGAGAAGGGAGAACAGGAGGGAGGAAAAGGAGGGAGAAGGGGAGGTTGCTATAGGATTAACAAGGAATCTTTGAATTCTCAACAACAAAGAAGTCAAATTCAATGAACAAACTTCTTTGGTTTGTCTCTTGTCCCAACAACGAATTGAGTGAAGCTTTCTCTATGCTAGAAAAGATTTCACCTGTACCACCTTTTGTCTTATATCAACATTGACTTTAAGATTGAAAAACAAAGCGTTCCATGCATAGGTTTGTTATATAGGGAGGAGAACAAAGCGCGCCATGCAAAGGTTTGTTATATCGGGAGGAGTACGAGGAAGAAGAAGAGGAACAAGAAGGAGAAGTGGGAAGAGAAAGGATGACATGGAGGAGGAGGAGGGGAAGGAGAGGGAGGAGAAGTAGAGGGAAGAAAAGGAGATGGAGGAGAAGGAGAGGGAGGAGGAGAGGGAGAAGAAGAAAAAGAGGATGAAGGAGGAGGGGGAGGAGAAGGGCAAGGAGGCTGGGGAGGAAAAAAGGGCAAGAAGGGGGAGGAGGGGGAGGAGGAGAAGGGTGAGGAGGAGGGGGAGGAGTAAGAGGGCGAGATGAGGGAGAGCAGGAAAAGGGTGAGATGAGGGAGAGCAAGGAAAGGGCGAGAGAGGGCGTAGGAGGAGAGGAGGAGAGGGAGGAGAAGGAGAGGGAGGAGAGGGAGGAGAGGGAGGAAAAGGTGAGGAGGGATACGGAGAGGGAGGACAAGTAGAAGAGGAGAAGAGGAGGAAGGGGGAGGAGGAGGAGGAGGAAAGGGAGGAGAACAGCAGGTCGAGGAAGGGGAGGACAGGAAGGAGGAGGAGGAAGAGGAGGAAGGGGAGGTGGAGAACGAGGGAGAGTGTAGCATGTTGAAGCCCCTACAAAGGAGGCCCAATGGCTCATTTTGGCCCCAACACCGCGCACCCATTTTGGATGGGTGACCTAGAGGGCCACAACCATTTCCCAAGCCTGGGCACACCTTTTGGCCCAGCCATCCCTTCTTGCCAGCATTCATCTATTCATTTATTTTCGCAAAGTTTTTTTTGTCTGGTCCATTTTTGTTTGTTTGAGGAGTGTCGTTTTGGAGATTTCTGCTGTTCGAACAGGCCTGTGCCTGTTTGGACCAGTGGACCACATTTTAGGCCGAGATAGGCCAGGAGTTAGTAGGTCCTGGGTTGGAATGGGACGACAATGTGTCTATTAACCATGTCTTACAACTTTAACACTAACGGATTATTGTCCGCAACCCACTTGACTTGGCATCGGCTGAGAAGAAAGTGGTGCCACCGTTTGAGTGCCTAGGTGAAGGCCAACAACTCCGGTGCGTCCTGAGTACAGTGAACGACGAGCATTTCTTGCTGAAATACTCCACCGAGTGTGAATCCTCGTCATAAATTGATTCAAGGATGGCTTCAATGCCATAGTCGGATGCAGTGATGGCGACGCGTGTCCATAAAAGGGGGTCATAGGTATACAAAATTGGTGCGAATAGCAAAGCGACTTTGAGAGCCGAGAAAGTTGTTTGCGCTTTATCTTCCAAGTAGAATAGTTGATCCGCGCATTCAACTTTTGAATAAATTGGCTGCGGTATTTGAATAACCCTGATGCATCGTTGATAAGGGTTGACTAGCCCGAGGAAGGAACAGACATCCATGACATTCTTGGGTTCCAACCAACTTTGGACAGGTTGGACCTTGTTCGACAACGGACTGATTCCGCCCAGCGCGACGAAGTGGAGAAGTACTCCAACTCTAGATGCACGAATTTGCACTTATCGACGCCAGCTACTTAACATCTCAAAGGGTCTCCACCACACAGTGAAGTTGCTCAAGGTGCTTGTCCAATGCCCAACTATAAACTACGATGCCATCGAGGTAGATAAGAAAAAGACGGTCTAGCATAGAACGGAACTCGTTGGTCATTGTCGTTTGGAAAGTTGACGGCGTATCAAAATGTGATGGTAGCCTGCCTTCAAGTCCAATTACGGAAAAACTTTGCCATGGGCAAAGGCTCCATGTGAGGAAGAGGTCCATTTGTGCGTTGAGGCGGCCACTGTCAGTACAAAATTGTAGATCCTTGTTCTTCTTACGCATGAAGAGACGACCACACCATAAGGTGAGCTATTAGGGCGGATCCAACCCTTCTCGAGCAAGTCCTCCAGTTGCGCATGTACAACCATGAGCTCCTCCTCGCTCATGTTCAGTTCGCTAAGTCAACTTCGTTGCGGTTTCCCGGTAGGAAATCCATGGATCAAAGAGAGCTTCTCCCCATGGCGTTTCGCCTTTCATTGCGTCCTTTCTTTCTCAATGCCAAGGCATCCACCCAATGCATTATATTGGATATAGTAGGGCCCTTCGCTACTTCTCACTTTTGTTTTATATCATATCATAGACTGATAGAGCCTAATGCGGCACGCCCGTCAGTCAAGGCGTGCCGTATGTCGATCGCCTTATCTTATCTATATCTAATCTATCAGAACAATTAGTTAGAACTTCTCTCCATCCACTGATAAATGCAACCTTTGTGCAGGACTGCACCGATCTCATGAGAGATGGGGAGTTCCGAAGCTACACCCACTGCCAGAGGCCAGAACACCCCGCCCCTCTGCAGCGTGCCCGACACACCCCCTTTTTCGTCCAGTCAGCACTGACCCACGGTGGTCCTGATAGCTACTCGTTGGTCCACAATGCTGCACTGGTTGCCATCCTTACGTGTTGTAAAGTCGGGGGGTGTCCCCACTACGACCTTCCCTCGGCCCCGCACTAATATAGAGCACAACGAATCTAGCTACAGGTACCTCGGTCTTCTGCACCAGTGACATCAGAGTGGTAGATGTTGTCAGTCCTTTGTATTGCACGCCAAGGGCTGTTTGTTGTGGTTATGGGATGCGCCCGGTGACCACAGTAATTATCCAGTTTGAAAAGATCAACTCGGACGTGTTGCGGTGAAGCTACGGGCCAAAGGCCAGGATGAGATGAAATGCGAAGGAGGGCCATGTCACGGAGCGGGCGAGATAGTGAACCTAGATAGTCAAAAAAAAAAAAAAAAAAAACATAAATCGCTACCTGAACACACCAAAAAAAAACAAAAAAAACAAAAAAAAAACAAAAAAAAACATAAATCGCTAAGCCCAACCTGAACACACCAGCTACAAACCCGTACGCCCCTGAGGGCCATGCCACATGGGGCGCATGGTATAATGACCCCACTCAAGCAAACGAAAATGCTAACCCTTGTAAAAAAGGAATAAGTCCCGCGCCAAGGGCTGCGTGTTGTGGTTATGGGATGCGCACGGCGGCCATAGTCGTTATCCACTTTAAAAAGAACAAGTCGAACACACTGTGGTGGAGCTACGGGCCAGAGGTGGGGATGAGATGAGACGTGAAGGACGACCATGTCACGGGGAGGGTGGGATAGTGAACCCAGACAGTCAAACACACAAAAAAAAAAAAAAAAAAAAAAAAACCCACATAAATCGCCAAGCCCAACCTGGAAACACCAGCTACCAACCGGTGTAGCTCAGTTGGTACGCCCCTGACGGTCATGCCACATGGGGCCGATGGTATATAATGACCCCACTCAAGCATATGAAAATGATAACCCTTGTAAAAAAAGAACAAGTCCCGCTGATTGTGCGCCCAGGGCTGCGTGTTGTGGTTATGGGATGCGCACGGCGGCCACAGTCATTATCCACTTTAAAAAGAACAAGTCAGACACGCTGCGGCGAAGCCATGGGCCAGAGGCCGGGATGAGATGAAACGCAAAGGAGGACCATGTCACGGGGCAAGTGGGATAGCGAACCCAGACAGTCAAACACACACAAAAAAAAAACCTAAATCGCTAAGCCCAACCTGAACACACCAGCTACCAACCGGTGTAGCTCAGTTGGTCACCCCTGAGGTTTGTTTATACGGAACCGTCCTCAACACATGCCACCCCGGTGTAGCTCAGTTGGTCACCCCTAAGCCCTCCTCCGTGCATGCCCTGATTCGAACTGGGAGGACCATGCCACATGGGGCGCATGGTATAATGACCCCACTCAAGCACACGAAAATGCTAACCTTATCATATATGTAATGACCCGCCATAACACAGACTGAGAACACTGGTGATTTCTGAAGTTCTGCCGATGGAATGGATGCCTTGCTGAGATTCCCACATTCTGCTGAGTCTTCTAAGTCTGTATGTATGCGTGCTTGTTGACCTGTGTGCCTGTCTGAGTGCTTGTCGGCATGAGCGTGTGTGTGACCGCAAGGGTACTTGCTTGTTTGGCAGGCCCGTAGGGCCGGTACTTACCTGTGGCCGTGGCATTGAGGGTTGCAGCAGGGGAAAACACTCAAGTAGCAGGTAGGCCGATACCACACCCAGTAGCAGTAGATGTGCCCGGTACTTGAGGCCGAGCAGAAGAAGACAAAGTTGGCATATTTAGAGGCCCAGTAGCAGTAGGCTAGGTCTAGGCCGGTACCAGTCCATCCAGCCTGAGTCTGTACGGGCAATATCAGAGTCTGCAATGATGTTTCCCTCCGAAAGGGAGGAGGTACCGGTTGCTTGGGAGGCCGACCGGTCTGGAAGTCACCGCCCAAGAGGCAAGTAGGCCGCTATATCAAGAGGCCGAGGGAAGAGCCTGGCCTCATTCTTCAGTGTGCAAGTTCGGCGACATGCTGCTGGAGCGCTGGCTGGAGGAGCGCTGGCTACTACAGCGCCCTGGGAGGAAGAAGCCGGGAGCTTCCACCTTGGCTATGGTGGAGCTCTACCGGTAGGAGGAGGAGGGAGAAGAGGACCAAGGAGGAGAGTGGCGAGGTACCCACCTGGCGATGGTGGACACCACCTTCATCACCTTGTTAGGCGCTGCATCTGGAAGGCCCCAGTTCGGGTAGTGCCACATCAAGGAAGCTCGGGACAGAGTCAGGCATGGCGGTTGAGTGGGCAGCGGCATAGCTGCCTGGTGTTGACCTTGGGACAGGAGGGCAGCGACATAGCTGCTTTGGGTTGTCCTTTGCACAGGAGGGTAGAGCCCTTAGTGCTCCGCCATAGCCTCGGCCTTCATGAAGAGGAAGAGGAAGGGTGGCCATGGCTATGGTGGACCTCATGCTGTGCCTGC